TGATCTTCCTCTATAACTTGAGTTATATGGGGATTGATTTCTTGTATAATTTGTATTGTTCGGGAGTGGTTTTCCTGAACTGTTGTTGCTGTGAACTGTTTTGTTCGGTAAATTTTGATCTTTTTTCATGTATTGATAGAATGATTTATTTGGTTCTTTGTATTTTTGAGGTTTATTTTGACTATCTTGCTGTTTTTGTTTACATTCGGAAATACTATGTCCGTATCGTCGGCAATAATTACACCATTTTTTGAAAGATGGTTTGCCTTTAAAGTTCGGGTTCTTTTCGTAAATATTGAGTATTTCAGTGATTTTTTCAACGAGGTCTGTTTCTGATTCCTGTATATTATTAATATTAGTGGGAGTCGTTTCAATTCTGTTAACGTATTGTAATTTCAGATTTTCCGTTTCTTCTAGTTTCATCGTGATTTCTGCTTGTTCTAGTTTGTCTACTAGTTTTCGAAAATCTAAATCGGGTTCTCGAATTGAAGAAGGATGGGATGCTCTCTTTTTTATTGCTATTTTCCTTAATTGTGGTGTTAAGGTCATCATTAAGATTTCTGTCATCTTTGTGTTTTTATAGTCATGTGTATTTAGTGAATATGCTTTTCGAACTAGTGTTTCGATTCGTACTGCTATTTGCTTGATGGTTTCGTTTGGTAATCTGCGAATTTCATTACATAAAACTCTTTGTTGTTGTTTGTTTCTTTCAGAGTCAAACATTTTTGAAAATTCTTGTGTAAATCTTTTCCAGTTTGATTTTATTTCTAGAGGTAGTACTGAAAACCATTTTTGGGCTGCGCCATCTAAGGTTGTTTGTATCAACGCTGTGCGTCGATGTATCCAGTTTTGATGTAGTGGCGTATTAATTGGTTCAGGTCCTATGTTTAAAATCAAATTTGCTGTTACTGCATTTAAGTAATCTTCTACAGAGTATTCAGGGTCTGTTCCTGTGAAAACCATTAAAGGTTTGTTTGATGTTATTGATGATCCACCCATTAGGTATGGGTTCATTGTCATTTGTAATGATTCTGCTGCATTTGGCATTTGAGAAAAATTTGAAAGTTGGTTTCTTGTTATTTCATGTTGTTGAAGATAATATGGGAGTGGTATTTCATTTTGCATTTGTGATGGTTGATACGAGTGTGCAGTCATTGGATTTTGTTGTTGAATTGGTTGAAAAGATTGTGTATTAATTGGCTTTTGTTGTTGAATTGGTTGTTGATGTTGTGCATCTATTGGTTGTGGAGAAAAATTCCTATGATTTGTACGTGTTTTCTGTATTCCTTGTCTACGATATTCTTGAGTATTTGGTGCAAATATATCTGGTTGTAAGAAATCGTCATCTGAGGATAAATAATCCATTTGATAAGGTGTTTGTTTTTTATTTTTATTTTGTTGAAAAAATGGGTAATTTTCACTGCGATCCTGTGGAGGATTTGATTGAAAATTTTTGGAATTATATTGGGCCGTTGGGTTATCCCAGTTTCGAGGTTTTGTATATTGATTAAAATTCCTTTGTGGTTGATAATTTGTTTTTGATGGATGTGTATAATTATAATTATGGTCTGCAAAGTTGTTTCTAGTGAATGTTTTGCGTGTTTTTGATGGTATTGTCATGGGTCTGTATGTTTGGTAATCCATATGTGAATATTTAGGGGCAACCGAAGGTTTAACGGTTGATTGTAAGGTTACCTGTGTTTGTGAAGGATTTGTATTTCTTGGTGTTGTTAAATTTGGGCGTATTGGTGAAATACTTTGTTGTGTAGTTGTTGTGTGTACAATTTCTTCATTTATGAAGTGTGATGGTGTCTGGATATCTTGTTGAGTAAGATTCCTAGTTCCATTGAGGTTTTCGTTGTGTATGACTGTAGAGTTTAAACTATTATTTTGTGTATCGGGTAAAAATGTATTATAGTTTAATGGTGTTGCATCAATTGTTAATGGTATTACTCTTACATAATCTCTTATGTAAGATATTGTACCTATTGCTTGACTTGAGATTGATTGTGGAAAGCTTATAAATGCGTGATGAGACCATTCGGGGTCCCAAACATAATCTGATTGTTCTGTGATAGCGGTATCATCGTTCGAATTTTGGGGTCTAAAATTTTTTCTTGCTTGTGCAATTAAATCAATATTGTGTGTGAAATAATCTATTATGAACCATGCTAAAATTTTTTGTAGATCGTGTTTGGTATGTTGTGAAACGTCATCTTTCGTGAAATTTTCTTTAATGATGTTTAAATAACTAGAGAGTAGTGTGATTTCATGTCGTACTCTTAAATGTTTAGATGTTTCTGTCGGTGAGACATTTGTTAATGGGATTTCGTTTTCTAATATCGAAATATAACTATATATTATTGCGAAAACTTCATTAGTGAAAATGGAGTTTGCTCTTTGTGAGTTATGGTATTGGATGCTTTTTATATATTCTGAAAAAACTTTTGAAAATTCTAAATCAAGATCGTCTGTTTGAATAGTATATGTTCTATTATTATGGTTTGGGGAAGTGAATTCTATGGAGTAGATTCCATACTGTTGTGTTATGTTGCATATATCTTTTGATTTTTACATCGGGGAACTCTGTTTTACATGGACTGATTCCGGGTTCAAATAAGTTTACGAGTAAGTTTTGACAAAATATGTGTTGTCCTCTATCAGTATCTGCATCTACTATAAAAGGAAAGATTTCATCGTCATCTGGAGTTTCGTCACCTGGGGTGTGTGTTGAACTCATTTTTCCGTTCGATGACTGTTAATATGTAATTATTGATGTGTCGAATTGGTTGATTCCAATTGTATAAATGTACTGGTTTGTGTTTATACTGCTTTTTTATTCTTCTTTTTCCTCTTTGTGATGAATTTGAAGTTGTTTCTGAGTCAGAAAAATATAATTGATCGTGTTGTGGGTAATTTTTATCTATTGATTCTTTTAATTTGTAAAGTTCGTCTAAACTGTTGGTTTCTGATTCTGAAAATGCGTTTCGATTTTTTGAAAATCTTTTTCGTGTTATTTGTCTTTGTTTAGTTATTATTTTCCTCTTTAGTGTTTGTCGTTTTGTGCGAATGTATCCAACTGTTTGTGTATGAGGTGTGATTACAAGGTCGTATTTTTTGTTATCTATTTCACAATTGTGTAAAATGATTGTTTGTTTATTTCCTAGGTTTTTAAATGACATAAGGTTTAGAATGACGGATGCAAAGGTTGTTAAATGATTTCTATTTTCTTAAACTGTTAGTTCTTACGATTTTTTGGTTAGCTTAACCTGGGTCTATTTGTTCAGGGTTGGAGAGAAAAGTATATCGATTCCGAAGAATGATTTTTACTTTCTCGTGACTAGTATAAGCTAAGGTGTTAACTTACTTAATCTTACTTAGGGGTAGTGATTGTGTTCAAGGGTTGGAGAATAGTAAATCGATCCACAAGGTTCAGGTATAATTAGAACGCGAGTAGTTCGTTAGATACTATTTTAAACTTACTAAGTCTAAGATTTATCCTGGGTCTGGTAAGAGGGGGGGTCAAGTGAAGGATGAATAACCGAAGTTCTTCACTGTTTATCCTAATTTGAATGATTAGTTTTGTTTTAAAAATTTCTATTAGTCTTGGGTCTTTAGAAAGGGTTGGGTAGTGAATCGACGTTTGAGGTCGTTAGACACTAATTAAGTGGGTGGGGGAGAACAAAGTTGTTCTGTTTGATCCAAGGATAAGCCTTGATGATCAAATTTAAAATTTAATTAAGTAGAAAATGATTTAAGATCCAAGGATAAGCCTTGATGATCTGGTTTTAAAATTAAGTGAATTTAAGTTTTAATAAAGTTTTAAATGTGTGTAAAGGAAAGATTTAGTGTTTTATGATATTAGTGAGTTGATGATTGCTGTTATGTTTTAGGTGATGAAGCTGGAACAACAAGATGATTTATAATTACTAACCATTTATTGTCATGCTACTAATTTTTATTTTTATTTTCCAATAAATATTTTTCAAACATGTTTTGTATAATACTGCAGAGTTTTAGGAAAACGATCTTAGATCTTTTTATCAATCGTTATTGTATAATATTAATTTTGTTTAGCGCCTTAAATGATTTTGAAGAGTAACTTCAAGGTTTTATGTTTGCAAATGGAAATCTAAATTCATTGCAAGTAGTATTCGAAATATAAAAGTTTGTTCTGGCTTTTGCCGAACTATCATATAACTATACGGCAAGTTTCTACTTTGTCGTATGTCGTCTTTGGTTCGAGGTCTTCTTCCAATTCCGGGTAGTTCTATTATGGTTCGGAATATTGGCTCTGATCTATTGAGTCGGAGAGACATTTCAATTAAATTATTGTCGTATAACATTTTTTAAATGTTTTTGTCTAATTTCTAATCTAATTTTGGTTAATTCTAATCTAGTAAGGTCTTGTTCGAGACTTATGGTCGCACCAGATGAGTTATGTCTGGGGTGTATAACTCATAGAGTAATTTCGGATAGGGTACACCGTCTGCTCGTCACGCTATCTTATTTTCGGCCGGATAGATTCGTGCAACTTCTTAGTCTAATACCGATCCTAATCTTACTCTTATACTATCTAGTCTCAGGTTGTTTAACTAGTCTCTGCTAGGCTCAATAGATCTAGGGTATACTGGTTTATTGCGGCTGCTGAAGTGCTCGGGAGAGTCCAACTAATTTCTAAGTTAAATTCAAATCTCTCTGGTGCTGAAATTACAAGTAACTTCAGCACTTACAAATAAGTGGGTTGTTAGTTAGATGGATCATGATTGGTTAATATTAAATACTTTACATTGGTAAAAC